CTAGAAACTAGAGGGCGCCACAGTGGTCACGTGACTCGTTGACGCAACAATATTTTATTTTGCACTTGCAACCTTAATTTTTGTTATACTTTGATTACTTACCTACAACCTGGAGAATCAAGTATAATGTTACAATAAAGAAAATGACAGATAAAATATAAAGTTTTACTGAAAATAAAAATGTTTGATATTTAATTATGAGTTTTTTTAATTTTCATTTGTTTTCACTACATATTATCATAATAGTAACCAAAGTGCAAAAAATAGAAACTTATTAGGTAAGTTAATGAAAGAAAAATAATAAAAGTCTTCATGGGGTATACACACCAGCAGTTTCTGCATTATGCTATTCGATACAATAATGGCAGCTGCAGTTTTCAACTTGTGCCAGGATATTTTTAGTCAGATACAGTTCAGAGGTCGACAAAACAAAAATTAATAAATACAAATAGATGTATGCTGTACTGTTTGTGAAATAGTTTTATTGTAACTAAAGGTTTAAGCTTTGTGTATAAACTACTGTTTTTAATCTATACTGGTGGTAAAATGTTTCTATTGTTTGTGTAAGTTTAAGCTTTATATACAGGGTGGCCTAAAAACATTTAACCACATTTTAAGTGCTCATATGGTTAGTAAATGAATCCACAAACCAGCAAAACATGTTTATTAATATTTCATTAACAAATTAATTTTACATACACTGCTGCATCATTTGAGATGCTCAAATCAACATTCAAACAATGATGATGTCTATGACAGAGTGCCTGACATGCTGTTACACAGTATTCAACTCTGATTCAATGGAAAGCATTTGTGATCTGTTGCGTGCTTTAATTCCTCAGTGGTTTTGGGTTTGTTTTTATAAATCCTCCAATATTATATGAAATAAAACTTTTAGAATCACTATACAGAAGTTGCATAACTTAAAAAAAAATTATAAATGTTTTGGGCCAACCTGTATAAACCACTGTTTGTATTTTATACTGTTGGTAAAATGGTTCTGTTGTATGTGTAAATTCAAGTTTTGCATCTAAACCACTGTTTTTATTCTATACTGCTGATAAGTTGTTTCTGTATGTGTAAGTTTAGTTTTAGTTGTTCAAATAGAAATGAAATCTTATCAAGTTTTCTTGTAATTATGTTCACAGGTATGGTTATAATCTATATTATGCTTATGGTTGTCAGACATTACATTCAAGTTCAGTAATATTTTTGTTTTTACATACATGTACTTGGAATTTTTTTTTAAGGTATAAGTTTTGAAGACAGAATATTTTAAGCAAATATGAGCATTATTAAAAAATATGAAGGAATGAATCTATTTTGATTTATTGTTATGTTTTAGGTATTCCCATACATCTCATATTTGGAAGGATAATTTAATTCTTGTGGGTGGAGTCAACACACTACCTACAGCATCCCCAGGGGTGGGAGTAGTGGATCTTCAGACTTGTCAGTATTGTGAATGGCATCTTCCAGTAAGTGTTGCTATTAACTCACTAAATATGGGCTCGGTCAATTTAACTGACCACATGACCTTTTTGTACTCATCCAAAGTCTTTATAGATTTGATACTACTAACTTTTAATATAGTATATCTTCATGAAACCTGGCAGTCGTTTAGTAAACGTTATAAGTATTTCACATACAAAAAATCATATTTTTAGTGAAGTATTTTTAATAAACTAAAAACAAGATTTTTCATAAATATGTCAAGTATTCGTTTTGAATAATCCATGTGCAAAGTGATTTTCATGTTAAGATTAAAAATATTTTCTTCATTTCAAATTTCATTTGTGTAATCTCTAAAACCTCATAAATACATTTCAAATGTTGTTTTCAGTAAAACTTTATATTTTATTTGCTGTTTTCTCTAACCTAACTCCATACTACATTGGTCAATTTGCCAACCTTGTAACCATAAAAAAATATCAAAATAAATCTAAATTAACCTTTTTTCTTACTAGAATGACTTCAAATTGTAATATGAAACTACATTCGTTTATCCTAAGTAGCTTTAAACTCTTAACAATATACATCTATAATTAAATTTTATTGTTTTATTGCCCTTTGAACCATATCCATCATGTTTAGTTTAAATATTATTTATTAATTTAGTTTGTGAGTGAATATTTTATTATTGTTTAATTTTTGTTATGATAAGAGTTAAAAGCAGATGATTGTAGCAAATTATGTTTATAATTCACTAGCTGGACCCTTGGAAATTCCACGGGTGTTGACAACTAAGATATCATCATTACTTTCGCATATATATTTCTGCAATTAAAGTATATAATTTTGTTAAAGTAATTTATTACCTATGGAATGTATCTATATTAACTATAATAACATGCAAAGGCAAATGAAACTATATTGGCTCAACAACTTATTTTAATTAAAAAAATACACAAATAAGAAAACATTATTAAATAAAGCTTCAAGTTGCTTCCAAGAAAATATGTATATCATTACAATGTCATTTTCACTAATTCAAAATGTCTTTGCATACAACATTTTTTGTTATTGTCTTTCCTTTACGTTTTCCTCGCATGCTAGTTTTCAGTACTTGAACTGCAACATCCGATAGTTTTCTAGCTCTAGAGAAAGCAGCATATAATTGTCCATGACTAAATATGGGTTGGGGTAGGTAGATCCCAACCTTACTGAATGTTTGTCCTTGTGCTTTATCAATTGTAATAGCATATGACAGTCGTAGAGGAAACTGGATTCTTTCTAGAGTAAATGGCAAATTTGAGTCACTTGGCACCAGTTTCACTCTTGCTATCAAAACATGCCTTTCTGCAAGAGCACCACTTATTAAATGAGGCTTCAATACAGTTCTCATGTAGGTTGACAATTTCAAGTCTAGTTCCATTGCAAAGTCCTTGTTGAATTGATTTTTTGTGCAAAAGCATTACAACTGACCCAGTTTTTAGATTCAGTCTGTGTGGTGGCATGCCAGATGGAGTGAATGAGTTTAATAATTCCATTGGGTAATGTTCAGCATCTCCTTGGTTATCGCTCACAATTTTATCTATACTGAAATAAGTGTCGACATTTCCTGGAAGTAGGTTTAGAACATCTTCATTCAGGGAAAGGCAGTCAGAGTTCGTAGGGGAAAGTACGATGTGTGATCGTCTCTCTCTTCTTGAGTTATGTCACCTAAAATGCATTTGACCAAGGACTCATCCACACATGATGTGGATGGTACCTCCACATCATCCAGTGCTGATGCCTGGGTAATTATGGGAGGGTTCCATTTCCAAGTTGAAGTAACCAATTTGCAAAGTCCCTTTGTTCTTCTTGAGTTACATGACACTATCTGAAATTCTGTGTTGTTTGTGGAAGAATAGGTAAGACTTGTTTGTAGTCTCCTCCCAGTAGAATGATCTTACCACCAAAAATACTGTGTATGCCAGTAATATCTTGCAGGCATTTATCAATAGCATGAAGGGCAAAAGTAGGTATCATTGATGCTTCATCAATGATAATTAAGTCTGGATCTCTTAGCAACTGGGCTTGGTCAGAGATAGGAGATATGTTACATGTGCTTGTTTCAGTCAATGGTACAGGTAGTTTAAATAAGCTATGTAATGTCTTACCACAGATAGCAATGTAGCTGCAATGCCTGTCCATGCAGCACATGATACTTGATGATTGTTGATTGTAAGATGAGAAAGGATCATGTTCAATAGATACGTTTTGCCACATCCTCCTGGAGCATCAACATATAAACAACTGTATTCAGGAATTTCTCCTCTGCTCTTTTTATCGATTGCATCGAACACTGTATCCACTATTAGTCTTTGTTAATGAGTTAAATTATGCAAGTGAGGCTGATTTATTTCTACTTGTTCTTCCATTGGCTGAAATCTCCCTGAGGTTTTGGTAAACCAATTGTTCAACAAGTTGTTCCATTTTCAATGAGAACTGCATTTATTGTGTGAAGAGCTGCATTTTCTGCTTGGTCTCTCTCCTATCCTCCATGCAAAAAAGTCTTCAATCATTTCATCTTTAAAGGAGTCCCACATGTACATGACATTTGCTGGATGGCAATAAGCACAAATTGCAGCAAACATGACATGGAGCTGTGATGGCATTCTAAATGCTGAAGCCTCCTCCAGTGTATTTTCTAATTCACGGTCATTTTCTAAAAGTCTTAGTCGTATGCAAGCATCCTTGAAAGTTGGCTTAATTTCTCCTTCAACTGTTCTCCGTTCTTCATAGTGTCTTGCTCCTCGAACATGGAGCAGCAATAAGTGGAGATCAAGTTTTTCAACATCTCTAGGACTCACTGAATACATGTGGCTAATAATATTCTGATATCTTCTTCTGACTATCCATTTTCTGTCGTGTTCATTGAACACATAATATGTAGGGATTTCACAATTCATGTAATTATGTGCATTGAGCTTAAACCAAGCAGTGAGATGTGTTCTTGATCACATTGAGCTGCTGCTGCTTGAAGAGCTTGTCCTCTATGAAAATACACTCTTTATTAGTCTGGAAGGTGAATGGCAAGTCTATAAACTGTGTGTGACATGTTGTGCATCTTATATTGAGATAGCCTCCACATGGCTTCAGGAGGTGAGACATATCTGCATGGAAGGTAGGATTTGATTTCATCATGTTCAGCTTGCTGAATTTGCTGTCTGTTAGTAGTGGCATTGTTAGTTACTTCAATATAAATGCAGTCATGTCCTTTGTAAACATATTTAAAAATATACTTTATACTTTTAACAGATGAACATATTTCGAGATTAATATGAGAATGAAACTTCTTCAGCAAGAATGCATTGTATGGTACTACACTGCGAATATCAACAAAATGACATCCAACTTGTACTCTCATTCCATTATCACGTTTTCGGTATTCTAGGTAACCGTTTACATTAAGCAGGGTCTCTTCTTGAAAGTTTTTTGAAACTTTTTTGGCATATTCCATTTTCCATACAAGGAGAAGAGGGATTATCAACACCACAAGGACCATGTATCATAAATTTCTTCATGAGATCGTGCAGTACTCTGTCTTCGTTTTCATCTGGAATTTCTGCAGATACCATTCTGTCAATGTCATCTCTATTTCTAATTTTGTCTTCGTCCGTAAATATAATCAACATGTGACAGTGAGGAAGTTCTCGTTTCTGAAACTCGATAACGTGTACATGAGCAACTGATACACCAAGTACATGCCTGTCCTTTATATCTTTTAGGAGTTCAGTAAGATGAGCATTATAGACCCAGCAATTAAGTTTGGCCGATTTTCTATGGTTTCATTCTGCTGCAAGTTATTGATGATTTCTGGGCATCTCGGATTGCATGTGTAGGTTAAAAAAAAGGTCTGGTTTACCATATTTCGCTACTATTGCTATGGCATCCTGAAAATATTGATGCATATTCCACGTACTTTCTGGAAATGAAGAAGGCAATATAACTGGAATTCCTGGTTCCCAAATGTCTGTCTACTCCTGCATTGAGATGGCCCATTGACCCACTGTACTGCTTGACACGAAGCTGAGACTGATTATTCCTTACAAACTGCAAATGGCATCCTTCAACCTTTACGTAGGCATCCACTAAATACTGCTGAAAGAGTATTCCTTCTCTGTGGATGATGCTGAATCCACCTCTAAATGCCATACAAAAACTATAAAATTCTTGCATAGTTACTCTATTACGAACACGTGTTCTGTGAGCTTTGTTATGTTGGATTTCATTGTGCCATCCAAATTCACCATGAGGAAACAGAAGTGGATAGCACATTGGATCCAGATGACATGACAAATAGGATATTCTTGTAGGAGGCGCATTTCTGGAGTAAATTGCAATATCTGTTCTCTGGAGGGGCTCCGTTTTCACCAATGAAGACAGCAGCAATTTTGTTACTTGTTGAAAAATTGTACTGCCTAATGTCTGGGCCTTGTCTGAAATGAAGTTCTACTTTCCGAGCAGCAACATTTTCTTGGAGGGCACGTTTTTATATAATTCAACATATGGGTTACTCCGATGGATAACATCATGTATGATATTCATCACATTAGGTAAGCATTGTGCATTTTGAGAGGCTTGCATCTGGTGTTGCAATGCTTCATTCACGTCAATTATATATAGCTGACCGTATTGGGGGCATTCATTCTCAGGTTGAAGAGTAGAAGTTGTGTGGTAAGTCTGTCCCTGAACTGTGAAACAATAAGGTCCTCGTCCTTGAGGTGTAATTATTTTCGATCCAAATGAAGCAAAGGAAAAAGCACAGTTGTAGTTCCTAATGTTTTTGCAAAAGGAGTTAGATTCGGGAGTATTTCCATCAAAAAGCATTCTCAATTCATCTGGATAGGGTTGCAGTTGAGGGAGGCTAACTTTTCCATTTTGGCAGCAATGTAGTGATTCATTTGCAAATCTCAGAGCTTCAGAAAAATTACATGGAATGTTCATGTCACCAATGATGTAAGGATTGACTGCATCATTTTGAAGCCTGTTAACCTGTTCTCCAAGTCTTCTTTGTTGTTGTCTTCTCCTTGCAACATCTCTCATATTTTGTGTCAAGTTTTTCCTTCTCTCTTGATTTGTTTGCCGCAACCTTTGTAAAAAAATCTTGTTGTTGTCCTTCGTTCATATTTGCTCTTTGCAGTTGCTGTCTATCTCTTTCTTGCTACATGTACATTGTCCATTCTTCTTTGTTCACAGCAGCTCTTCTTCTCTGGAGCTGCTCTCATTCTCGCTTCATTATCCCATGCCTCTGCTTTTCTCTCACCCTTTGCCAATATCTTCTCATTTTCTCCCTTATCCCTTCCAATCTTTGTTGCCCGTCCATGTTTTTATCTAAATGCTATACAAACATGGATTAGTTTCGTATGTGAAAAGAAATAAGGAATGCACAAATATTTTCTTGTACAAAATTACCAAGTTTAGCCCCACACAGTTTTATAATCTAAAATCAGAAGTCCAACACCCTTTCATAGTATGCACTTTTTGAATTTCTGCTTACCCAAAATTGACTAAACAAACTCACTAAAGAAACTCAGTCAATGATCACTTTGATAACACAGAAACAAAACATGCAAAAAACAATTTCTGTATAGCAGTTGCATATCGCTATAGTGATTTTCAATGTGACTTACCCAAAATTGACTAAACAAAGTCACTAAAGAAACTCAAACAATGGTCACTTTGATAACACAGGAACAAAATATGCAAAAAGCACAGCGGTAAATCACGAATGTCATCTCCACACCTCAGTTTTACAGATATTTATTTTTTCCACCAGCATAGCTCTGCTGTGCGACACTTTTTTGGCAATTTTCGTAACTTGCAAGTAGCTATCTTTGAAATCCAGGAGGTCTGGAACTGGGTCCACGTCATGCAGGTCAACAAAAATAAGTTAAAAAATTATATTTATCCAAAACTGCTTGACCGATTTCCTTCAGATTGTAAACATAACTGACAAAAAATATGTTCTTTCAACGTGTCCAGGCAGTAATGCTATCAGATTTACCATTCCAACATAATGATTTTTTTAGTGCTCCAGCAGGTTCTCAGTCAGAAAGTGTAACGGTTGTACATACAAACAAACAGAATAATAGTATAGATTAATGTTGAGACTATTGAACGTCATGTGCAATGCATTGACGTTGAGAATATAGAGATTTCTAGAAGGCCAGACGATTAAGTGATAAAGATATAAATAGTGTGAGCCGAGCGAAAACAGCAGACAGATAATAGCAGAAGAAAGTAAAGTTACGGGGAAGGAAAAGTTCGGTGTGAAGTTAAGTATCATAGAAGTGATAGGCCTAACGATTGACATAGACGTAATGTTTATTATGTTAGAGTAAGACTAACAGTAGAAAAGGAGATAATAATTTATTCCATCAAAGTGTGGTTCTAAAGTAATTGAATCAGCCTGAGTGCATTTTGACAAATGGAACAGACAATATTTTTAAGAAAGAAGACCAAATAATTACGGTAACTTGCACCACAATTGTAAGTGAATCACACATAGAATAGTAGTGCAATAGTAATAGAGAAGATATAGTTCAGCTTTTCAACTGATATTCTAAAGTAATTGAATAGGCCTAAGTGAACTTTTGAGAAGAAGAAAACTAAATATATAGTGCCTATGATATGTCTATAATCTCTATAATATGAAGAATTTGTTGTACATACATTTAACTTGTTCCAAACATATGTATTATTTTGAAAACAAGTGAAATGCATGCTGTTCATTTATTGTTGAATTTATTGCCAACAAGTCACAGACACCCACTGTAGAAGAATTCTAAGCCCAACAACAACACAGTATATATTTATACTATTAAGAAGTATAAGTAAAAGCCGTTTATTTTGACAACTGGCGAAAAAGAATTATATTTTAATTTCTGACAATGTCTAACTACTATTTGCACAATTATATGTTGTAAATCACTTGGGGAATGTGGATGTCATGTTACGTTATAGAATTACCTTACCCACAAGCTGTTCATGTGCGTGCTTGTGAAACATTTTTATTATATTATTATTATTATAATACCTTCTATCTAATCTAACCTAAAGAGATCCCTATCTTTACATTTTAGTTACTTTTATAATTTTGAATATAAATCATTAAACCTCGTTACATGCACAGTAAAGAATGCCTATCATGATAAGGTTAAAGTAAATTAAAATGTAAGCATTTCAGTGTTTAACCCTCTTGCAATGGGCATCCTTTATAGTGCATGTATAAGAGATTTTTAGTAACTTACATTAAACAATTAAATTAAACTACTTTTTGTTTGTTATACCAATTAGTATAGCATAAAATCATAGCTAATAATCCATATTTTAATAGTATGTAAGTTTTAAGTTCTTGATTTTATAAGGCAATATTTAATAAAATCTTGAATTTCCCCTATTGTGAGAAATGTGACATTTTTTCTCTAGGCAGCTCCTCTTCTGTAATTTATTCACCACCCCTCCAATAAGTACGAAATGTAACATAAATTACTCACTATCAAATTTTCAGACAAAAAATAATTTTTATAGCTTTCAATTTTGTTGGTTACAGATCCATTAAATATAAAATCAGACCCCTCTTGCCACACTCACCTGTCACATTCTCTTTTTCAGGATTTGTTAATAGTTCTTTCTAACGTTTAATATTATATTATTTATAACCAATAGAAAGCCAAGGTTCTCATCTATTAAATGAAGTATTATATTATATTGTTTTATGAAGAGAGAATTGTCAATTTCTGTTTTAGTTCAAGCTTCATTCCCACAGGAAAGATATTGACTGGCATGGATGAATTTGTAATGGCTCTTGTTGCATAGTTAGAAAGCCAGAATATGTGTGGTAGTTATGGGACATTGTCTGCTTTTTGCATGTTATTATTCTATGTTCTGTGGTGCATCATTTAATTAAATAAAAATGTAGTGCATTACTACCATTAGTATAAAAAAAGTAGGGTTAAGGGTCATCGACAGTTGACAGCAAAAAGAAGACAACTCGGATAAGTACTTTATGTCTTGTTTTTCATATGTATTCTTTATTTATTATCATAAAAGTAACTAAAATGTAAAAATAGGAATCTTTTTAAGTCAGTTAAAGTTAGATTAGGTAAAATATATTATAATAATATAATAAAAATGGTTCATGACCATCTTGGAGTATCTCCTGGATATGGTAATTCAATAACGTAACATGAGCTCCAGGTTCCCCAAGTGATTTATAACATAATGGCATAAATAGTAGTTAGACATTGTTCAAAGGGCAATAAAACAACAAAATTTAAGTATAAATACATGTATACTGTTCCAAGTTTAAAGCTACTTAGGATAAACGAATGTAGTTTCATGTTACAATTTGAGTCATTCTTGAAAGAAAACAAGGGTAATTTAGGTTTTTATTTAGGTGGTTATTAGGTTGATCAAATTGACCAACCTTCTATATAGTTTTACTGAAAACAAACATTTAAAATCAATTTAGGAGGTTTTAGAGATTACTGAAATGATATTTCAGATTTTTGAGATGAAGAAAAGTATTTTTAATCTTAACATGAAAATCACTTTTCATGGATTAGTAAAAAAAAAAAGACTATATATATTCACGGACAGATCTTTTTTTCTTTATACTTTATACTTCACTAAAAAATCTGATTTTTTGTACATGAAAGACTTGTAATGTTTTTTGAAAGTCTGCCAAATTTTGTGAAGATATACATAATGTATTAAAAGTAAGTAGTATAAAAAATTTAATGACTTTAAATGAGTAAAAAGTGGTCACATGGCTGGTTAATTTGACTGGGCTGATGTAAAGAGAGTTAAATCTTTCCTACAGAACTTTAAGCAGTCTATTTAGACCACCTATCATATATACACCTCATCGCCAGCATATTAGTGTTACATCCACTAGTTACATCATTCTTGTCATCAGTGTACTAACTTGTCAGTTTCTTTACACCACCATATCTATATCCATCATCACCAGTACATCAGTGCACCACTATAATTAACCAGCCTTTCCATCAGTGTAACTTGTTAATCTTTTTTTTACACCACCTCATCACCAGCATACCAGCCGCTTTATACCACAATACTTATATCTAGCTTGTCATCGGTATACTATTTGAGCATCTTATATTTTTTATAAGCCCATTAAAAGTTATGATGTACAAATCAAACATTTTTTGTTTACTGTGATGAACATTTTTGTTACATTGGAAGATTTTCTTGTTTAAAAAAGGGATTTAATTTAGTTCATGTTATTAATCAAAGTCTAACATTCTAAACTACAATAGATTATTTAAGAATTTTTGAAAAATAAAAGACTCGTATCTCTGTAATCCCAGCTAAATTTACTTTAAAATATACTGCGATATTTTCAAGTGTTTTTGTTGATTCTAGCTTCAAAATCCTTTAAGGCCCATTTTGCTGCATAATCATTCCAGTGTGCTACAAGAAGAGAGATGGAAAATCTTAATCTTTGGAGGAGGAGGAAACTGTTTTTCTTTCGGGACTCACTTGAACTCCTGTGTGATAGAAATAGATCTGCAGGAGTTATGTGGATGAGTTTGTTATCATCATGCTTCTGTTAAGCAGTGACAGCTGAAGAAGGTATGAATTGTGAATTAGCTCTCTGATTTCAAATATTCAGAGCCTAGTGGTTAGTGTGCCAGATGGAGAATCTAAGGGTATATAGCTTGTATCATGATGCCATGAGATCACATTTTAAGACCATTGACTAAGATGCCTTCCCTTTAGCCTCATCAGTTCTGGATTAGCGATGGATAGCAAAGACAACCCTTATGAAGTTTGCCACAAGTATCTAATACAAGTAAAACAAACTCATAATTTCATGCTTACTAAAGCAATATTTTATGACAGTCACTGCTGCAACTTGAAGCTTAGCTTTAGGTTGGAACATATTCTGGCTGTAGTTGTCTTGCTATGTAACTGATGTGGAATTAATTTACTATAGCAGAACAATGGACAGCTGTCACTGTGAGTGGAAAATTAAAAAAAAAAATTAATGAGATTATCTACTTCACTTGTTATGAACAGTTCAGAAGAGTGTGTGAATTGGAAACAAGTGCAACTCTATGAAACATTACTTTTGTAGATAACTGCAACCATGGAACAGTGTCAACAACATCAAGTTTCTTTAAAAAACATTATGAAATATGCCCTTGTGTTAATCATAACAAGTACTGAACAATGTTTGTTGTAATGTAATGGAAGGTTCTAATTCAGTGAAAAAAGATTTAAATATCATTGTCTAAAACAACCTGATACTTTATTTTTAATTCTGCTGAATAAAAGAAAACATTAAATTCTTTTACATACAGTTCTTGATTAGGTATTCATAAATCTAAAAATATAGATTTTTTCCACTTACCTTAAAACACAGTAACTATCACATAAATACCATTTGCTGAAGATTGATATCACTTTGCTGAAGAGTGATAGTATAGTATGATTGTGTGTTGAAGTATAGTGCCATGAATGTGACAGTGTATATTGTATCATGTTGCTGAAGAGCATTACCATAATATGGTGTGTTGAAGTATAGTGCCATGAATGTGACAGTGTATATTGTATCATGTTGCTGTATAGTGGTACCATAGTATGATTGTGTGTTGAAGTATAGTGCCATGAATGTGACAATGTGTATTGTATCATGTTGCTATATAGTGGTACCATAGTATGATTGTGTGTTGAAGCATAGTACAATGAACATGAGTGTACTGAAAATGTGTAACATGTGTGAGATTGTTTTGAAGAATGTAATATGTGTAAAAAAGTATTAAATAATGTGGTATGTGTATGAAAATATTTTAAAGAATGTGATGTCAGGGTTTTAAATATATTTTTTTAATATACACAACTTTCGTACTCAAGTGACCTGGAAAGTTTATTTAATTAGTTGATAGCAACAACAATATAATACATTTCTTAAAAAAATATATTTATATACATTAAACAAATACTTGAATATATTATAAGAACATCAACTATAATGATAGAATACAAACCTAAGTAAATCAATAAGTAAGTTAGCGTATATTCTTTTCACCAAGTATAGAACAATGTAGACTTCAAATAAACTACTATTGATTATACACTAGTATACATCTCTTATGTAAGAGCTGCCAAAATATAATTTATTTCAGTTTGATAATTTTACTAAGCACTTTTAATGTTCTCAGAACAGATATCAATAAAGCTCAATTAAAAATTTTAGGCCTGAATATGATTAATAATAAATTTCTTCTGTACATGAGCTTCTGGCACAGAAATAATACATAACTTGTATTAAGACCTTTCATAATAGTAGAGTTAATCTTTCACCTACAGATGAAATGTGCAACAAAATTAACACTTCACATTAATGCTGTTTAAATAGCAGATATACTGCTTCTAATAATTGATGTTTATCCATGAATGACATTTCATTCTTTATATTTATCTTGATGTTATTTGTTACAACACAGACTTGTGGAGTGTTATTCAACAGACGTTCTTATTCTGCACACAACTCTCTCCTATAGCTATGCTGGGGAATTTAGTAAAAAGTTATCATACAGACACTTTCATCCTAGCTGACTGTCAGATCAGTATATTGTAAATACAGCTGTGGATACCCCTTTATAATAGTAAAAGTAGTTGGACATTTCCTACTTTATGCTAAAATATGAAACATTTGTGTTCATGCTTGCAATGTCTTCTTGTTTAACTAAGTTCTAAAAGTAGTTTAGGGTTTCATCAGTTGTTTGCTGGAGCCTTCAGGTTGTTTTGTATTAATAGTGGTAACAACAGATTTGAGCAATGACTCTGACTGGCAAAGTTTCCATTTGTGATATCCTTAACATGTATGTTATTGGATGAAGCTGGAGCCTCATTCACTCCAGCTGCCATTGGCAATGTTTCTAAAGATCTTAGACTTGATACTCGCTCAACTGGAGCTTTATTTGAGTTCTGGTTCTATTGTTGATTCAAATTGTTCTTTGGCTGTTGCAGAGAATTAACAAAGATGTCATGGTCTGGGTGGTAATAAATTGGAATAGATTCAGAAGACTCCTGTCGACTTTGGCTGTTGGAATATGTGTGTACACACCAGAATGTTTCTTCCCCAGATGTTTATTTTCAATATAACCATCATCCTTTAGTGCCAGTAGAGTCTTCTATAAGACAGTTGGCTGGACCAAAAGCTTGATTCTTCTGGTCTGTCTGGATGAAACTTGTTTCCCAGGTTTTTAGGTGAGATTATTGTACTTGCTGTATATTTGAGTAGTATTAAAGGCTTATCTTCCAGGTCTAGGAACTTGTCCATGGTATCCATACTGGATATGGACTGCAGTTATGTTTTTTCTGTGCTTGGACTAGTTTGATGTGGGCATGGGAATAAGATAATCTGCAGAGTTTGGTGACAGCAGGTCATTGTAAGGTTGAAAACCTAAAGTGACCATACAGAAATATTGTAATAGCATAAAAGGCTTTGAATTCTTTTCAGGTTACATCTTCCATAAACCAGTAGGTAGGGTAGGTAACTTATGTAACAGTACTTGCCACAATTGGTGCTAATATCGCTCACATAGTTTTGCATTTGCTGTTAAGACCATTTTAAAAATATATAAGATAAATTTATTAGTTGTCAATAGTTTGAAGAATATTGAGCATGTAAATACATTGCTTTGTTACAGCATTAATAGTTTTACATTAAGTGTAGCTAAAGTAAACCTAAACATTTTATATAATATATATCCATAAACATATTTGTAAAAAATTATAATGTTAAATTTTCTACTTGGCTTAACTAGATGTTAAAAATTAAAGTTAGTAAAACATTCATTATATGTGTATAGAAAGTATGCAGCTCATGTGTTTTGAAGTTAGATAGACTCAACATGTGATAATGAGTCAGAGTGAAATGTCTCCATGGTGTTAAGGAACCACAGATGGAAATGTATAGGACATACTGGCCTACGGAAGAATAGAAACATCTTTGTCAAATGTATGCAATTAAGTGTAGTTGAAATCTGTATAGAATCCTTACTAACATTGCCCACCTTTGTAAAATACATGTAATACAGATAAATATATATAATTGAAGTAACATAGCAGTATTACTGCGGACATACAATGCTAGAACCGGGTATTGAAACCCGTGGTGGGCAGAGCACAGATAGCTCATTGTGTAGCTTCGTGCTTAACCACAAACTAACAGTTGAAAACCAAAGTGTAAGTTATGATCTCATTCAAATAATGGATAACAACAGATTTGTTAAAATCCTACGTACAGTATAATTGACGTTAAAATAATGGTTTTCACATAATTAAATCTAGACATTTATGACGTAATCATATGTGGAAGTATAGTAAAAACGTGCAACCTTGTATAAGATATAACTATAAAGTAACATGTATAAATGAATTGTTTTGCCAAATTATATGGATATCATAAAGTCAAACTAGTGAACGATATTTAGATAAGCGTCCTTTTTCAGGACGGTTTACAAAAAAAAATGGTCAGGAAATGTAATTAAATATAGAACTAATGAATTAGTGTTTTAAACTTAGCGAAGTGCGTTATTGTCTCTGACGTCATGGCAGCCTAGCAACTGCCCTCTCTGATCACATCATTGCACGGCGTCAGCACCCTCTAGTTCCACTTCATGGAACTATGACGTCATCGTCTCTGGTAGTATTATTGCCTCTGCCCCTTCCCTGAGGTCGACACACATGTAGCGCCCTCTGGTGATGTGCCGCTCGTTTAATGTCCTGGTTACTTTCGAGTATTTCTATTGAAAAAGAATGTCGGGAAAACAAGTTGGAACTGATAATACTACAAATATACCTTAAGTCTTTTGTTAGCTTTACACAGAAATAATTATTGTGACTTGACTATCATTTCGACCAATTCTATGATCTGTAAGAATAGTAGTGGTAAAGTTATGGATGTTTTCATCTCTTCGAGTAACATTGCTAACGTTACAATCTGTTGAAAGTCAGAGATTCCATAACCAGATTTCTAATTTTAACTAAAAAAACATTACCTGAGGACTTATTCCAAACGTTCATGCATGTATTATCTAATCTACCACTGTGGTATAAGTACCTTTATTAAAGAAATTGTGCTTTATCAGGTTTATTGATGTGTCATTATAGCGTTTTGAAGTGATTAAATATAGTTTTATCAATAAGATGTGCAGTAACACATCCTGACAGTACGCTATATAAAAGTTTTCAGCTATTGTCGACCTTAATATAGAATAAATAACTAGGAAACTGTTTAATTTTGTCTGTTAAGGATGTTATTGAGAGGATAGGGCACTTGATTTTTCATTGTTGGTACGAAATTATTGTAAATGTGTGTTTGTTTGTGAATACTATTATACGTGATTACATTTTTTATAGCCTTATGAGCAAGCTGCCTCCTGACCCAACAGTGGTGATCGCAGGCCTCAGCTTTTAAATCAGAAGACTATTATAAGGAGGCTTCTTTTGTCATTGGCCCTAGCTAATATTTTAAACAAATTAGATGTGACGACTACGTCACAATCTCCTAGGACGTGTTCTACTATACTAGATGTGGTGGGTGATCTAAAATTTGAATGTTTTTTTATACAAGTTATACGGTATCGTATATATATTTTTCAAGATGGCGTAAGTTGAAGAGAAAAGTGAAACGAATGAAAATAAACTGGATTCATCTAGTCTCGTGAGTCGCGTGACTTCTTGAACCAGCAAGTAATACTTGTTCCCCCTTTCCCTTCACGTTTTTTGGCTGAGGATACATGCAAATCTGACACAAGATTTTGACGCAAACACTGTCATAATTTCCAAGCAGTGATTTATAAGTATAATGGAGAATTAATTTAAAAAATTGGCTTCATTCCAAGTTCCGATGAACGTCGTTGTTAAAGTCAAAGGTAAACTGTCCAGGACAATTCGTTACTATCAAATGAATGTTTCGAAATTGAATTTCCTTTTTATGTATAAAAACAAAATGTATACGTCTTTAGTGAAACAAACACCGCGACAAATTTTTCGTGTTGTTACAGTTTACAGTCAGCACCTCTATTTTTGCAATTGATGGAGGATCGGGTAGGAACCAAAGCAATTCGTTTTCAAATATGTTTATCAACTTGCTCTGTTACCAAATAAATATGATTGTTTTGGTCCTTTTTTTTAAAATAAACATAATGCGGTGAAATTTTAGTAATTTCTCGTGACAAATTGAAAGAGAATCGCATGAACCTTGTTGCCGTTGTGGTGATGTCATCGAAGATGAATAATTCATAGTTTCAAAAGCTGCCACCAGAGGGTGTATCGTTAAGGGCGCGTTGCTAGGCCGCTATGATGTGATAGTTCGACAAAGTGTCACCAGAAGGCCAAATTTATGGAGGGCTGAAATTATAGTTCGATACCAGACAGGCGACCATAATGGATGATTGCATAATAGTACGACAAAGTAGAGAACGTCTTCTAGGACGCCATGACTCATACAATACATGTCGAGCCCCCCAGTGGCTCAGCAGATCTTACAACACTAGAATCCGGGTTTAGGTACCCGTGGTGGGAAGAGCACAGATCGCCCATTGTGTAGCTTTGTGCTTAATTACAAACAAACAAATCATCATGTCGCTAATTAATCATTAATTAATTAAATCATCCTAAAAAGGACGCTTAACACTAATTAATTAGTTAATCCTAAATAAGACAGTGAACGCTAATTCATTAGTCAATTAATTAGTAATTAAATTATCATACTACAAAGTAGAGAACGTGTTTCTAAGCAGCTATGACTTATACATTACATGTCTCAACAATAATATAAAACATATTATGTAATAACACCTTTACTAATTTGACTTTAAACAAAAAAGTAATTTACACAAGTTTTACAAAGGCATACTTTCACACACACACACACACACACACACACATATATATATATATTTCATTACAATTATTTAACAACTTCTCGTAGGATTTTAACAAATATACTGTGACAGTACTTGTACAAGTCATCAACGTCTAGATTTAATTATGTTAAAATTCATTATCTGTAATAAAAATAATAAATGATTGACTTACTGTATCCCTCCATTTTCTAAATAACAATTAATCACCCCAAACGCACACAAAACTTGGGAAAGTATGGAATACATAACTTCTTTCAATGTTCTGCAGGACAATTAACGTTTCACAAATCATACATAACCCTACAGCTATATATATAATAAATGAACGAGTTACTGATTACTAATATTTAAAATACCACAACTTTCAGACTGTCTATCACGAAATAGACACACATTTCTACGTTTTGTTTCTATTATAAGTTCATAAAACTAACGAACCCGTATCTGATGCCAAACTAGAATAAGCATATTATGACAACACCTGATCAAATGTAAAGCTTTCTTCTACAACACCTTGAAGATACTGACGTCACCAATACATAGTTTATCAAGGATGACTCATTCAAAGGTCAATTATGAGTTGACCAAGTCTATGTGGTTTGCAATGTAGAAGTAGAGCAGAATTTAACGAAAACACACCAGTTCGAAGAAATAAAGCGTGACAGTCCGAATTGTTTGATATTCAAGGCCACAGTTCGTCTTGGTTTTAAGAAAATATACAAAATTAGTAAAACCATAGCTAGTCCAAGGACCAAGTGATTAAAGTTTTTGATAAGAATTCAGTGTTTGTCATATACATACTTAACATCAGTTACTATGATCATTATGTAAATTTAATAATAAACTGGACATAAGATCAATATTCACTTTTGCAGATCGCTAAATATATTCAATTACACATTATTTATAATTTTGATCTTTGAAAACTAAATACGCGGTGTACCTAACTTACAGCTTACAATCTGATCTTCAATATGTAAGTAAACACTTGTAAAGTGTCACACCAAACTTTGAGGAAAAAAGCCATAGGATTATTTCACAATACTACATAGTTAGTCCATAAACAAAGTAATTAAAGTTTTGATAATAATTCAGTGTTTGTAACAAAAAAACATCGGTTACTATAATCATTTTACGTCTCTG